CCAAACTTTATTTAATTAGGCCCTTGTTGAGTGACATTTGATTTTCCAGACTTTTGCTCTTTTTTTCAAACACTGCTCTAATGTATAACCTTATACATATGCCATTTTGCACAACTTTAACTATAGGATAAAGTCCTAGAAATGAAATTACTAAGTGAAAGTGTATATACACAGGAAATTTGGTTAGACACTATCAAATTATCCTCAGTAGGAATTGTTTCAGTTTACACATGTGTGAGGGTTCCTATTTACCTATAGTCATGGCTATCCTAAGGTTTATCAATCTTTCAGATTTTACCAAATCTAAGCGATGAATGGTATCTCAGTGACTTTTTTATTTTATTATTTTTTTTTTGAGATGAAGTCTCACTCTGTTGCCTGCGTTAGAGTGTCATGGTGCCAGCTTAGCCCACAGCAACCTCAAAGTCCTGGGCTCAAGCAATCTTCCTGCCTCAGCCTCCTGAGTAGCTGGGACTACAGGCATGCACCACCATGCCTGGCTAATTTTTTCTATATATTTTTAGTTGGCCAATTAATTTCTTTCTATTTTTAGTAGAGATGTGGTCTGAAGCTTGCTCAGGTTGGTTTCCAATTCCTGACCTCGAGTGATCCTCCTGCCTCGGCCTCCTCTGTGCTAGGATTACAGTTGTGAGCCACCAAGCCTGGCCCTCAGTGACTTTTATTCATCTTATTCATAAATTCATCTTACTATGGGTGAGGATGAGTTTATTTTTTTCATATGCATAATGGACATTTATACATAGTTTCCTTTCATTTGTACTTTTCTGTTGAGTTGACAGTCATTTTATTATTGTTTTGTGGAAGCTCTTTAGTATAATATAGCCAACATCTTTTAAAAAGTCAGGCTTAGGCCAGGCATGGTAGCTTACGCCTATAATCCTAGCACTCCAGGAGGCCGAGGTGGGAGGACTGCTTGAAGTCAGGAGTTTGAAACCAGCTTGAGCAAGTGCGAGACCACGTCTCTACTAAAAATAGAAAGGAATTAATTGGCCAACTAAAAATATATAGAAAACATTAGCCGGGCATGGTGGCGCATGCCTGTAGTCCCAGCTACTCGGGAGGCTGAAGCAGAAGGATCGCTTGAGCCCAGGACTTTGAGGTTGCAGTGAGCTAGGCTGATGCCATGGCATTCTAGCCCAGGCAACAGAGTGAGACTTTGTCTCAAAAAAAAAAAAAAAAAAAAAAAAAAAGTCAGGCTAGTCTGAAGGTAGTGAGTTATCTCAATTAAGAGCTCATAGTTACAGATTGAACTCCTTATTCTACTCTTTTCCTCCCTCTCACTACTGTACTTGACTGTTCTAAAAAAATAAAAATAAAATAAAAATTCAGGTTTATTGGTATGTAATTTACATACAATAAGATATACCTTTTAGTGGAACTGTCCTTTATATGTGGAAGGACTTCCAACTGGGGACTAATTGTTGGTTATTTGAAGCACCTATCTGAAAAAATGAGGCTCACCTATTGCAGCAAGGGATCACTGGGAGCATTTTACACTCAGGCTGGGGTTTTCAAGGTCTCAAATGTACAGGTAGTGTATTCAATGGAAAGTGGGTAAGCACTGGACTCTCACCATTTGGGCTTAAATCCTGTTTTTGCCATGTGTTACCTATGTGATTTTGTTCAGATTATATCGCCTTCTTTGGGTCTCAGTTTCCTTCTCAGTAAAAAACCTTCAAAATCAAATACCATCAGATAACATAATGTAAGCATATTATCTAGTGTTGACACAGACTAGGTGCTTAATAAATGTTAGTTTCCCTTCTCTCCCAGTAAAAGCCAAGCCACTAAAGATAACATGCCCTAGGGCAGCAGAATGTGTGTGTGTGTGTATCTCATTCCCAGCCACAACCTCAGGTCCTGTTAGAGTATTAAGCCATATAGAGGCCACTTATATTCCTGTTTCCAGCTTTCCAACTTGATACCCTTAGAGTTAGACTGAAAGCTTCCTGTGCTAATAAAATGGGCTCAGAGAAAATATCATATCTATCTAAGAAAAGACATTTCTGGATTGAGTAATAGCTCCTTTTCAGTAAGGAGTTACTGAAAACCACCCTGCCAAACCTGTTCTTCTGCCCTGGTGATTAGTGCCTGCCTGGCTTCCTTCTAATACCAAAACCTGTTGGTCCAATAGCTTTAGATTATTAAAGAGGTTCAAAAAAGAGCATGCTCCCCTGGCCCTGGGATTTTGGCCTTTTCTATCCCCAGCAGCAAACTCTCTGTTTACTGTAAGGAAGGCAAAATGATCACAGCAGGACGAATGAATAGTTATTCCTTCCCACCAGCCAGGCAAAGATGGATGGTGTCTGCTGCCACCCTGTAGGTGCCAGATGGGCATCCTCATTGTGGTGTTGGCGTTGTTCTCATTGCCCAGGCTAGGTGAAGAAAGCCTTGTCTCCAGGAACCCATGGCCTTGGAAAGCAGCCTCCCAATCGATTTCACTTGCAGGGTATAGTGGGATGACACCCACCTGGCAGGCCTGGAATGAGCTTTTTTTTTTTTTTTTTTTTTGAGACAGAGTCTCACTCTGTTGCCTGGGCTAGAGTGCCGTGGCATCAGCCTAGCTCACAGCAACCTCAAACTCCTTGGCTCAGGCGATCCTCCTGCCTCAGCCTCCCAAGTAGCTGGGACTACAGGCATGCACTACCATTGCCCGGCTAATTTTTTCTATATATTTTTAGTTGACCAATTTATTTCTTTCTATTTTTAGTAGAGATGTGGTCTCACTCTTGCTCAGGCTGGTTTTGAACTCCGGATCTTGATCAATCCACCCACCTCAGCCTACCAGAGTGCTATGATTACAAGTGTGATCCACCATGTCTGGCCTGTAAGTGTGTTTTATACCTCCCATCCAGTCATGGCTGGGAACTCAGTATTAAGCCTTTTTTCTGAGATCTCCTTAATGGAGAGAGATTAGTTCAGTTAGCGGAGGAGAGTGGAGTTTACAATTTTATTTTTAGTTCACAATGGTAAGAGCCAGATGATTTCATTGTACAGTTAACTTTCCCCTTAGGACCAGGAAGTATAATCACTGTGGTACTTATCCTTTTCAAAGCTCAGTTTCCTCATCTGAAATGTGACTAAGTAGGGTTGTTGAGTGGATTCAATAAATTCATGCATTTAAAGAGCCTAGGACATAGTAAACATTCAAATAAAAGTAGCAATTATTGTTATTTTGGTTGCAACCCTACCATCAGAAAATGTGGAGCACAAGAACAAAAAACTCCTCAGTTCCCCTAATCCCTTTCTAAAAGAGGGAGGTAGGCATTTTAGAGTCTGATAGAACAGGCTGGAAGTTTGGCCTTGGTGCTAAAACAGGTTATATAAGTGGACAAGATACTTCTATCAATATCTTCCTATGTAATAACTACCATTGTGGAGGGCTTAGTATGTGCAGACATTTTATTAAATACTTTAGAAGCATTTTCACATTTAATTCTTTCTTAAACCCCGCAAATAAGAATTATTGCCCATATTTTTCAGAGGAGGAAACAAGCTCAGAAAGAGTCAATAACTTGCTAGAGTAGGACAGCTAGGAAGCAGCAAGATGAGAGTTGAGAAACTGGGGATTCTACTATCTCCTGGGGTTAATGAGACTCAAAAAAGACAGGATATGGAAAGAGGATTGTGCTTGGCTTTACTGCTTTAAAAAACCTGATTTCTCAGTTGTCACCTTCTAACTAAGCTTTCTCTGTGTTCTATAAAGTCGAATTCCTTCTGCTTCATTTTCTTCCCATAGTACTTTGCTCCATATAACCTACTACTGTACATGTTGATTTTTTTTTTTAGAGACAGGGTGTGGCTCTGTTGCCCAGGCTAGAGTGCAGCGGCATCACCATAGCTCATAGCAACCTCAAACTTCTGGGCTCAAGGGATCCTCCTGTCTCAGTCTCCCTAGTAGCTAGGGCTGCAGGCGATTTTTTTTAGGGGGTGTCCTTATGTTGCTCACCTTGGTCTTGAACTTCTGGCCTCAAGCATTCTAACCCCTTGGCCTCCTAAAGTGCTAGAATTATAGGAGTGAGCCACCATGTCTGTACCGTGTTGACTTTTTTTTTTTAAAGACAGTCTCACTCTGTTTCCCAGAGTAGAGTGCGGTGGCATCATCCTAGCTCACAGCAACCTCAAACTCCTGGGCTCAAGCGGTCAAGGGCTCCTAACTCAGTCTCCCGAGTAGCCGGGACTACAGGCATGCGGCACCACGCCCAGCTAGTTTTTTTGTTTCTGTTTAGTAGAGAGGAGGTTTCGCTCTTGCTCAGGCTGGTCTCGAATTCCTGACCTCAAGTGATCCTCCCACCGCGGCCTCCCAGAGTACCTGGATTACAGGCGTGAGCCACCGCGCCCGGCCCGTACTGTGTTGACTTTAATATCTGTCTTACACCATAACAATGTCAACTCCATTAGGATAAAGATTTTTGTCTTTCACTGCTGTTATCTCAGCATTTATAGCAGCACCTGACACACAGCAGACAACCATTAGATATCTGTGGAAATAATAAATATGCCCTACCAGAAGCATCAGGAATCACGACTAGGCTGGGTGCGCGGTAGCTCACTCCTGTAATCCGCCTGTAACTAGGGAGGTCCAGGCGGGAGGATCGTTTGAGGCCGAGAGTTGGAGACTAGCCTGGGCAATAGCCATGCGCCGCCGCCGCCCCAGCCCCCAGTCTGTACAAAATAAATTAGCCAGTCGCGGTGACGCGGTACTTGTAGTCTCAGCTACTCCGGAGGCTGAAGCAGGAGTACCGCTTGAGCCAGGAATTTGAGGTTGCAGCGAGCTATGATGACGCCACAGCACTGCAGTCTGGGCGAAGAGCGAGACCATACCTCGAAAAAAAAAAAGAAAGGAAAAAGAAAAAAAAAAATCAAATTGAATGAGCGTGGATTGAACCTCGTAGGGGTCCTTAGCACTCCTTTTCGCCCTCCTATAGGTGAAAGGAAGAGACGGAAAAGCCCGCCCCTCACTCTGCTATAGGCGGCCAGGGCTTCCGAAGTCTTCGGGCTGATCTGGTAGGTTCCACAGCCTCGGCGCTTGTTGTGTGCGTCATTTCCGGGCGTCACAGAACGGAGTAGCCAACGGCCTGGAGAGAACATGCCCAAGTGAGTGAGGGGCCTGCAATCTGGAAGTGGTCGCAGTTACTAGTTGGCCTCGTGGGAGAGTGGGTTCTGGTTCTCAAAGCTTCGAGGGATAGGAAAAGATCGGGGAAAAGGAGGGAGGGAGGCCGACCGGGAGTTCCAGACACCCCTTTTCGAGTGTGGAGGTTGACCCTTCTTAAGGCACCAAAAAAGTCTGATTTATGTTAAGAGGCTTTATTTGACGCTTTTGACTTGTGAGTAGGTTAGGTTTTTGTTTGTGTGGGTTATTTATTTATTTTACTGTCATTGAACAGCATTTCGGTGGATGGGCATCCGTTAACTGGTTGTCATCTTCTCTTTTTATCTCTTTCTAGGTTTTATTGTGACTACTGCGATACGTACCTCACCCATGATTCTGTAAGTGGAGTATCTTTTCATAGTTTCAAGAAGACTTAATGTGTAATAATTAAGCAAGATTTTTTATTTTAGGTTCAAATTTGTGCTTTTAGCTTGTTGAGGTTTAAAGCCTACTGCTTGGAGAAATTAATTGGAGGTGTTTATTTTTTCACCTTTCTCGAAACTGTTTTCATAATTTGAGGACACTTGCAAGAGTTAGTCTTCCTGCAGTCAGTGTTTTCATCGGAGATCCAAATGAATAACACTTTAGTAAACTTCAAGATGAAAAAAATTTAAGTAAATATTCTAGGAGAGTGCCTCAAATATTTGATTGTGTCAAGTTACTCAAATGTTTGATTGATTAAAATGGAAAGAAATTTCTTGATAGAAAAGAGGCTTTTGGCTGGGTGCGGTGGCTCACGCCTATAATCCTAGCAATCTGGGAGGCCAAGGCAGGAGGATTGCTCAAGGTCAGGAGTTCAAAACCACCCTGAGCGAGAGCGAGAGCTGTCTCTACTGAAAATAGAAAGAAATTAATTGGTCAAGTAAAAATACATAGAAAAAAAATTAGCCGGGCATATTGGCGCATGCCTGTAGTCCCAGCTACTAGGAGGCTGAGGTAGGAGGATTGCTTGAGCTAGGCTGATGCCACGGCACTCTAGCCCAGGCAACACAGTGAGACTCTGTCTCAAAAAAGAAAGAAAGAAAAAAAAAGGAGTCTTTCGATTAGAAACTGCTTGAGAACACCACCTGAGATTCACTGGTTTATTGTGTCAGTGTTTGCATGTTTTACACACATCTTTTTGTTTAATGCTCTTAATAATCCTGTGATTTATTATCTGCACTTTACTGAGGAGGAAAGTGAGACAGAGTGTGGATAAATATCTGACTCTGGATGTCACAAAACCAGTAAGCTGTATAGAGCTGGAGTGTGAGCCCAGGCAGTCTCACTCCAGAGCTTCTATGCCAGCAGTTCTTTTTGAACTCAGGGACCCTTTACACTCTTACAATATATTTTAAAGAGTGTAATTACTTTGTATTTTTTATAAATTGGGCAATGTGGGTTGTATCATATTGCTATATTTGAAATGAAAACTTAAAAAAATTTAAAATACTCATTTAAAAGTAACAATAAACTCTCTACATGTAATATTTTTTAAATGAAAAAAGCCATTTTCCAAAAGAAAATATTTATTACATATAATGGCATTGTTTTAGCATTTTTGCAAACCTCTGTAATGTCTGACTTAACAGAAAACAGCTGGATTCCTTGATTCTCATCTTTTTCTGCATTAAACTGGTTAAAGTATACAAGAAAGTAAAACCTCACAGTGACATATATTGTTGAAAAGGGGGGAGAAGCCTTGCTTTTTTTGTTTGTTTTTTTTTGAGACAGAGTCTTGCTCTGTTGTCTGGGCTAGAGTGTTTTGGCATCAGCCTAGTTCACAGCAATCTCAAATTACTGGGCTCAAGTGATCCTTCTGCCTCAGCCTCCCAAGTAGCTGGGGCTACAGGTATGCGTCACCATGCCCGGATAAATATATATATATATATATATATATTTTTTTTTTTTAAGTTGTCCAGCTAATTTCTTTCTATTTTTTTTTTTTAGTAGAGATGGGGCCTTGCTCTTGCTCAGGCTGGTCTCGAACTCCTGAGCTCAAACGATCCTCCCTCTCAACGCCTAAGTGGACACATAGGAATAACATTTATTGGGTGTTGGGCAGCTGGGAGGGGGGAGGAGGGGATGGATATATACAAACACAATGAGTAAGATATGTAACATTTCGGGGATGGACACGCTTGAAGCTCTGACTCGGGGTAGGGGGGCATGGGCAATATACGTAACCTTAACACTTGTACCCCCATAATATGCTAAAATAAAAAAAAATTAAGAAAATTAAACAAAAAACGATCCTCTCTCCTCAGCCTCCCAGAGTGCTAGGATTATAGGTATGAGCCACCACGCCTGGCCAGTACAGTGTTTTCGAGATTCTTTGCTGTTGCATATGTTAGTGATTTTTTTTCTTTCTGAGTAGTGTTCCACTGTGCTGTGCACTTGTGATTTTTATGAAGATGGAGACACTGCTTATAAAGTACATAGTGTTGTGCCTGGCATATAGTAATTGTTCAATAAATGTTAACTTAAAAAGGTTGAACATGTAGAGTTTAGTGTGTATCAGTTATACCTCAATAAAGCTGTTAAAGAAGGAAAAGATTAGTAGGCTAGAGGCAAAAGTCTGTAAGTCAGGCACACAAAGAATATATGTTGTAAGAGTCCATTCACAGGAAGTTGTAACTCTAGGTAACCCTGTTCACCCTAATCTTTATGTGTATGGAGTCTATTTTCTAGACCATAGTCATATAAGAACTTATTCTCATAGACAGTTACTTAAATGTTTGTAAACTATATCATTTTGCCATGGACTAGCCTAAGAAAGAGCATTAAAATGGCATTGTGGTCTAAATCAGGGGTTTGCAAATCTTTTCTTAAGGGCCAGGTTGTAATGATTTTAGGTTTGTGAACATGGTCTTTAATGCAATTACTCAACTCTGCTGTTGTAGAAAGAAACCATAGATAATACATAAATGATGGATGTGGCTGTGTTCCAATACTTTTATTTTTTTTACAAAAACATGTGGCTGGCCTATGGGCCATAATTTGCCAACCCCTGGTCTAGATAATAAATGTAGTAAATAAATTCAGTATGTTGCTGGAGAATGTTTATAAGTAATGCTTTAGCAGCCAGATAAAGCTGCTAATGCTAGCCAGGTTACCTATATCAAGGTAAACCTTTATAAAATTTTTAGTTTTGGAAATTTGTTTCTATGTCTGATATGACCTTTTTGTTTTATAGCCATCTGTGAGAAAGACACACTGCAGTGGTAGGAAACACAAAGAAAATGTGAAAGACTACTACCAGAAATGGATGGAAGAGCAGGCCCAGAGCCTGATTGACAAAACAAGTATGTTTCAGCCTCTTGTTCTGATGTGTTAAAATGGTCGCATTCTTTCTTTGACCCTGTCTCTCTGTTTTTTACAGAACGAACTCAGTCTGAATGATAAATAGGAGCATTTAGACATGCTGAATGAAATAAGTGGAAGGTCATTGGTTTCCTAGAGATATAGGAACACATTAATTAATATTAATTACTGAGGATAGAGTAGTCAGAGGTAGAGCAATCAGGTATTGGTTAGACTGGGGGTAAGGCAGAGAAGACTGGAATTGCCTAATGTTTGTTTCTTGATGTGGACCAGATTTATATAGCAAATTTATATAAAACCTCATTTTTCATGATCCATAGTTTTTAGAAGTGTTTTCCTGTTGTGATATGAAAAGACAGGGGCTGGGTTTATGATTCTATCCAAGTAGTTTGAGAGGCTTTATTTCGGTCTCTTAGTTGTAGTCCTGACAAAGAGAACTAGTCAGAAAGAAACTAAGTGATGTATAATAACAAAATAGTCTGAGTATGTTTTGGACCTCTGTTGTACATCATAGTCTTTTTGTTAATTAGGTACATTTTATTGTTCTGGTTTGTTGGGTCTAAGGTACTGGCAGAAGGAGATGTTGCATTTTTACTTTAGATCATCCTGGTGTATTTGAATCATGGCCTTTTAAAAATCATTCATTATACTCAGCTGGCAGGCAAATGTGGACTTTGTGATTTTTTTAAAAAAGTGAAGCTATTGTGATAAATTTCAAATAAAGGAAAAGGACAAGTTTAATGAAAGACAATCCCATTCTGCAACCCCCCCCCACTCCAGTTTCTTACCACTCAGCTGCATCATTCTTGTTTCGTTTATACCAAGGTTCTCATGGACATTTAGTTTCTGTCAAGGTACTATTGACACTTAGTACAATTCTTTGTTTTGGGATCTATCTGTGCTTTATAGGATGTTTAGCAGGATCCCTGGCATCTACCCACTAGATGCCAGTACCAACCCTCAGTTGTGACTATTATAAATGTCTCCAGGTATTACCCAGTTTTCCCAGGGGGGCAAAATTGTTTCTAGCTGAGATCCACTGAATATCTTCATGTACTCCCTTTCTCCCTCCTGGATTATTATGGAACAAACCTCAGACATTTTCCCATTTCATGTGAAAAAATAAATTATGCTGTAATATTTTTTCTCCTATTTGAAAAGATGTTAGAAATTTCTTGGCATTATAACATTAACAAAATATTCTCTAGTTAGTTTTCATATGCAGCAAAAGAATTTGGGGTGAGTAAACATTTTTATTTGAGGCAACGAGGCAAGCCCTCAGGGACACTCCTTTTTTTTTCTCGGCATATTATGGGGGTACAGATATTAAGGTTTCAATAAATGCCCATTTCCCCCCCTCCCCCCCAAAAGTCTGAGTCTCCAGCATGACCATCCCCCAGATGGTGCACATCTCACTCATTATATATGTATATACCGCCCCCCCTCCCTGCCCAATACCTATTCTATAGTACCTATGTGACCACTTAGGTGCTGTTCAGTTAATACCAATTTGCTGGTGAGTATATGTGGTGCTTGTTTTTCCATTCTTGGGAAACTTCACTTAATAGTATGGGTTCCAGCTCTAACCAGGAAAATATAAGATGTGCTATATCACCATTGTGTCTTAGAGCTGAATAGTACTCCATGGTATACATATACCACATTTTATTAATCCATTCTTGGATTGATGGGCAGGACACTTCTTATGTGTCCATGATTATGTTGACATTGAGTGGAGCCAGTGGTTTAGCTTCTCCCTTTTCTTTACAAGCTGTCCTCCTACACAGGGTGTGGGGTTTTTTTTTTTTTTAATTGGAAAAGCCTTACTGGGCTATAACCCCTGATAGAGCACAGGTTTATTCAGAGGCATACAAGTAGCTTTTCATAATCTCCACTCTAGGTCATTTTTTGCATCTGTCCCCATGATTTATCAGTGATTGACTTGAGTAATTTGACCTGTTTGCACTGATGGGGCATGGAGTGGGATGGGCCGCAGACAGCACTGAGTTGGCAAGGGCTTACATGAGGAATAGAGTTTGGAGTGTGTAGTTTAATATTATTTGTGACTCCTTTCTAAAACTAAATACAGATGAACTTCAGTTTCTTTAGTTTTCACTGGGGCTTTATATCATCTGAAAGAAACATTGAAAGTTGATTGTGTTGGACTTTTTTAAAGACCATAATCTCCTTTAGAACAGGCTTTTGCTTTGATATCTTTGTTTTTCTTCATCTCCTAGCTCAGTGCATTAATTTCAAAACTGATTAACCAACATGGTATATTGTTTTGACCCAAGACAGCACAGAAAGGATAGAAGGAAGGGTAGAAATTTTATAAAGCCTGACCTTTGGGCATGTATGTATACTTTTCAAACAAAATACGATTGGCTTAAATTGATTATAAACAACATCTACAGATAAAGATGACTGCTTCTCTTGGTGAAAGACATTGCTAGGAAGGAAATTTTCATTGCAATCTCCCGTAGTTTAATTTAGCCATAGAAATGCTAAGTAAAATAGCTTAAAGAACCTAAATCAGGCCGGGTGCTGTGGCTCAGCCTGAAATCCTAGCACTCTGGGAGGCTGAGGCGGTGGATTGGTCGAGGTCAGTAGTTCAAAATCAGCCTGAGCAAGAGCGAGACCCCGTCTCTACTGTAAATAAAAAGAAATTAATTGGACAACTAAAAACATATATAAAAAATTAGCCAGGCATGGTGGGACATGCCTGTAGTCCCAGCTACTTGGGAGGCTGAGACAAGAGGATTGCTTGAGCCCAGGAGTTTGAGGTTGCTGTGAGCTAGACTGACGCCATGGCATTCTAGCCCAGGCAACAAAGTGAGACTCTGTCTCAAAAAAAAAAAAGAACCTAAATCAGTAAACCAATTAATTGCAATTTTAGGTAGTGAATGCCTGAAATGATTTTAAAACTGTAAAGCCATGATGTAGTAACTGTAGATGAATGTTTGCGGGAATAAAGTAATTGGAACCATAAAAGATTTAAACAAAAGCAGTTATTTTAGTAAATGGGTTGTTGAACTCTTATTCATCATTTGTTGTGTTTTTTCTCAACCTTATATCCAAAGCGGCTGCATTTCAACAAGGAAAAATACCTCCTACTCCGTTCTCTGCTCCTCCTCCTGCAGGGGCGATGATTCCACCTCCCCCAGTCTTCGTAAGTTTAACCTTTTTACCTTAAGGGCTGTAAGTGGGCAGATTATTCTTCGATTGTGTTAGATTTAGATTATCTCACAGTTAGCTTTTGAATGCTTGTTGAATGAATACATAGATAGTTATAGAAATAACATTGGTGGTGTAATTTCTAAAATAACTTTAGAATTAAACTTTCGATTGCACTGTTACTAGGACATTGTATTTCTGGCATCCAAGTGTTGGTGTAAGACAAATTCAAATGAAAGCTCAGAGTGAACTTTTGATTAGATGAGCTGATATATGAGTAAGAGTTGCTGAGTACATTAAAGTATTTACTGCTATGAACACAGCACTAGAGTACTGCAGTAGCTGATAAACTCCTCAGTCTACCCTTATTTTCTAAACCACCTAAAACTGTAATACATACTTTGTGAAGATAAGAATTGGATAGTCGGCCAGGGGTGGTGGCTCACGCCTGTAATTCTAGCATTCTGGGAGGCCGAGGCGGGCAGATTGGTTGAGGTCAGGAGTTCGAAACCAGCCTGAGCAAGAGTGAGACCCCATCTCTACTGTAAATAGAAAGGAATTAATTGGCCAACTAATATATATAGAAAAAAACTAGCCAGGCATGGTGGTGCTTGCTTGTAGTCCCAGCTACTCAGGAGACTGAGGCAGAAGGATCACTTGAGCCAGGAGTTTGAGGTTGCCGTTGCTGTGAACTAGGCTGACGCCATGGCACTCACTCTAGCTTGGGCAACAAAGTGAGACTCTGTCTCAAAAAACAACAAAAAGAATTGGATAGTTGAAAGTGGAGTGGATCATAGCCTCTGCTCTCTTGGAAAGTTTGTTGTTTCTGCAGGGCAGACAGGAAGAGATTGAGTACAGTATTTGGTCGTAAGTTCTGTGGCTCTCCTAGAGGGTCCAGATTTGAAACTGAATTCAGAGACCTAAACTCAGTCTTATAAGTAATCATGGATGTAAACAGAGAGTAAGCTGTTTGTAGTAGTTTACATACTAACATAGGTTGACCACTAATGGCCTGCTGAACCTTTTCTGGGCTTCTCCCATCCTGGACCTGGTCAGGCTCTTCCACAGCAACTCAAAGGTCATTTCTGTCTCCTGTTCCACTTGACGGCTGGCACTCAACGCCATTATTTATAAAAGCAGAATAGTCTGTGGTGTGAATGTACCGTAGTTTACCTCACTATTTCTCATGTTTGGATATTGAACTTGTTCTAAATTTTTGCTATTGTAAATGATACAGTCAGCCATATCTCTGCATGTAAGTCTTTGTATTTCCAAAGAATCTTTTTTTTGAGACAGATTCTCGCTTTGTTGCCCAGGCTAGAGTGAGTGCCGTGGCATCAGCCTAGCTCACAGCAACCTCAAACTCCTAGGCTCAAGCGATCCTTCTGCCTCAGTCTCCCGAGTAGCTGGGACTATAGGCATGCGCCACCATGCCCAGCTAATTTTTTCTATATATATATTAGTTGGCCAATTAATTTCTTTATATTTTAGTAGAGACGGGTCTCGCTCTTGCTCAGGTTGGTTCGAACTCCTGACCTCGACCAGTCTGCCGCCTCGGCTCCCAGAGTGCTAGAATTACAGGCGTGAGCCACCACGCCGCCTCCAAAGAATCTTTTAAACTCAAATTTTGATTTTTAATAAAGGATCTAAAAAGGGAATGCTTACACACTGTTGGTGGAATGTAAATTAGTTTAACCTTTATGGAAAACATTAAGGAGATTCTCAATGAACTAAAATAGAACTACCATTTGAGGGGCTGGAAGAGAAAAATAACATTACCATTTAATCCATTAGTCTCACTAATGGGTGTATACGCAGAGGAAAAGGAAGTATATTAAAAAGATAATGTGGCCAGGCGCGGTGGCTCACGCCTGTAATCCTAGCTCTCTGGAGGCCGAGGCTGGCGGATTGCTCGAGGTCAGGAGTTCGAAACCAGCCTGAGCAAGAGCGAGACCCCGTCTCTACTATAAAAAAAGAAATTAATTGGCCAACTGAATATATAGAAAAAAAAAATAGCCGGGCATGGTGGTGCATGCTTGTAGTCCCAGCTACTCGGGAGGCTGAGGCAGGAGGATTGCTTGAGCTCAGGAGTTTGAGGTTGCTGTGAGCTAGGCTGACGCCACGGCACTCACTCTAGCCTGGACAACAAAGCGAGACTCTGTCTCAAAAAAAAAAAAAAAGATAATGTGTACACATGGATAGAGAGTGTGGAATAATAAACATTGGAGACTCAGAAGGGTGGAAGAATGGGAGGGGATGAGAAATGAGAAGTTACTTAACGAGTACAATGTACACTATTCTGGTGATGGTTATACCATTAATAAAATCTCAGACTTCACCACTACATAATATAGTCGTGCATCAAAACTGTACTTTTACCTCGTAAATGTATCCAAATTTAAGAAAGGGGGTCTGAAATTCTGTATTTGTGGCTTAAGTTCATCAGGAGCTCTACAGAAGGTACAACCCCCTCCCCCTTTTAAAATTAAAATTTCAGAATTTTTTTTAATCTGGGGAACCTGACTTCATTTTCTAAAGTTTTATGGCATGTGATTTTTTTTGGATCCACTGTTATAAAAAGAAACAGTAAGAGGTCTATTGTTTCTGAATTTGAGACAGTTCATGGGACCCTGTTAGTTTTACTAAGAAGAGAAAATGTCAACATATAAGCATACCTTAACGACAGGCCTTTTCTTTATTTCAGCTGGTCCTCCTCGCCCTGGTATGATGCCAGCACCCCATATGGGGGGCCCTCCCATGATGCCAATGATGGGCCCTCCTCCTCCTGGGATGATGCCAGTGGGACCTGGTAAGTTTGAATATCTTTCTTTTTAGTATGCACCATTGTGTTTTAGTTCTCCAGTTAAATGGAATTCCTAACTAGTTGTCTAAAAGTGTTTTTTGCAAAAAATTAAATTTGGTCAATCATTAAGGATAAAAAGATTCTTGAAAAATTTGGGAGAGGGGCCTAAAAAAGTAAAAGAAATACTTGTTTATCAGTATAATTGGGTGATAGCCAAGGACTTTGTCCTACTAAAAAGCAAGATAGGGCTGCTTCTGTATTTCTTCTCCCTCCCTCCTGTTGTCTTGCCTCATTCTGACTTTTGACCATTTATAATGAATAGAAAGATAGATGAACTTGTTCCATTTGAGGAGTGGGAGAAAGGTTAGATATATTTTCTCAGTTTTGATTGGGAGCAGAGCTACCTTCTCTTGCTGGTTTAATCTTGCAGGTTAACTAGGCCAAATCAGTATTTGAAAAACGGCCTTAGGGTAGTTGGTTTTTTTATTCAGGAAGTGGAGGGGAAACCTTATACATGAAACATTTTATTTTAATGTAAACATAAATGTTCATTAATCTGTAAATCTCCCTGATACATAGGCAGGACCTTTGCTTTGAGAGTGAGTTCGCTGATTCTAACACCATATATTTCTTGCATAAACCAATAAACCATAACCATTATGCATCTTCTACCAACTTTAGTTTCATATTTTTTTGAAGTGATTAGAGACCTTGTGATACAGTCTATTAATAGTTCCCATCTTTTATGATTATTTCTGCCTTCCAAATTTGTGAACATTTTGGGGGGATCATTTTCCTCAGTTTTCTAAGTATCAAGTTAGCTTTCCAAGAAATAATTTTCATTTCACAATCATATTTTACTGGTTTGCAGAATAGATTACATAACTAGAGTAATAACTACAACCGACATACCCAGGTTTGGGAATAGATACAACTGATGCCTGTGACTTATCTGGAAAGACAAGGTGCAAAGTTATTAAAGTAGCTTCCTAGCCAGAAATATTCATTATGCCTGCTTATCGGTATCATTTAAAGGCGTAGATAAAGAGAGTTCCTGCCTTACTGACTTGAACATAATCAAAATTATTTAGATGGCTTTAGCATCCTAAATCAGGGTCACAAATTCAGATTCCTAGGGAGGTTAGGGATGTGGTGAACTGGGGAATGCATAATCCATCTAAAGAAGGCTTCCAGAACTCAGCTTCAGCCTATAATTGACATTTGAGAATACAGGTTGGTGTTGTCAGTTCTTCTGAGGTGGTTTTTTTGTTTTGTTTTTTAACCAGGATAAAATAAGATTGTGAGATTTATGTTAAAATAATTGAGTAGGTGGTGGTGGGTGGGAGAGTGTCAATAAACAAAGTTGGCTGTGGGTGGGTGATTGTTGAAGCTGGATGATGGATACATGGATGTTCATTATACTCTTTTTTTACTATTCCTGTCTGTTTGTATATTTCCATAATAAAAAGTTTACAAGAAATAGGGAATCTAGACTTCTAATGAAATCCCACTGTTGGCAACTAATTCAGATTAAATCTACTGTGGAGATCAAAGAAAACAAGTTTTTTGGTGCTCAGTTTTTAATGTTTGGTCTATATCAGTTTCCTTGAAGAAATGCTTAAATATAGGTTATGTTAAGCATAGGCCTTTATGTGATATTTAGAAGTTTAGTATTATTCTCTGTTCCTGTTGAAATTGGTCTTAAAGAAAATTCTGTACCTGTTGGATTTTGTGTCTTTGCATATACTCGTGTTTCACTTTTTGTTATAAGGCTATATTCAGCTTTGAATATAGTTTGAATATAGCTTTGAATATAGTTTCTCTTGAGCTGTTTACTGCAAACTTAATCAAAATTATTTAGTTAAAAATAAATAGGTAAAATTTGATATTTATAAAGAATATATGTAACAAGAAAATTATGAGGCATAATAATAAAATGAATATCCGTGAACCTATCACCCAGCTGAGGAAGTAGAACATTATCAATTCCCTTGAAGCTGTCTGTGTTCCTTCCCTACCCCTCTGCTTGCCCTCCCCTCCCTGGCTCATTTATTTGGCTGGTTTATTGATGGGACACGTAAAAAAATTAATAGTTTCTAATATGCATTAGAAAAATCAGTTTTTTGTGTGTGCTAATTGTTATAAATCACATTATTGCCTATTATTTTTCTTGACTTGAGCTAAGTATGGTTACTAACAGGTTCTCAGCATGGGCCTCCTGCTCACCTTTCCTACAACTCCGAACAAACGCTTAGTGGTAAGATTGTCCTCTGTGCCTGTGTACATTCATGAAATAGCTCCTGGTTATATGGTGGATATAACTGATTAAAAGAGCTGACTGAATAACATGTGACTTAGTTGTGAATTTCCCTGAGTGGGAAAAAAGGTCAGTTTAGGGAACTAGTGTCCCTGGTGATTTCTGGAAAGCAGTCTATTAATAGTTTCCCCCTTACTATCATTATTATATCATGATTCCCACATGGTTCTTGTGTTGACCTTTTTGTTTTTTGTTTGAGAATGTCTAAGTAATTTACAGATGTGATGAATTTGTTGCATTTCTTCTGTCAAGTATGTCTTTTTTCCAGCATTTTGCAGGGGGGGTGGCTACTTTTTTTTTGTTTTAATTGAAGTCCCGTCAAACTCTCTCATAAATGGTATTTTCTGACTCCCCATCTTTTCCTTTTCTTTTTTCTTTTTTTTTGTCCTACAGCTCCTGGAATGAGGCCACCCATGGGAGGTCACATGCCAATGATGCCTGGGCCCCCAATGATGAGACCTCCCGCCCGTCCCATGATGGTGCCCACTCGGCCAGGAATGACTCGACCAGACAGATAAGGATAGAGGGGAGGTCTCTTTATGTCAGTTTTATATTACTTGTTCTGCTTCCCCCCATCCTACTGTAAATAGAAAGGAATTAATTGGCCAACTAATATATATAGAAAAAAACTAGCCAGGCATGGTGGTGCTTCTGTAGTCCCAGCTACTCAGGAGACTGAGGCAGAAGGATCACTTGAGCCCAGGAGTTTGAGGTTGCCGTTGCTGTGAACTAGGCTGACGCCATGGCACTCACTCTAGCTTGGCACAAAGTGAGACTCTGTCTCAAAAACAACAAAAAGAATTGGATAGTTGAAGTGGAGTGGATCATAGCCTCTGCTCTCTTGGAAAGTTTGTTGTTTCTGCAGGGCAGACAGGAAGAGATTGAGTACAGTATTGGTCGTAAGTTCTGTGGCCTCCTAGAGGGTCCAGATTTGAAACTGAATTCAGAGACCTAAACTCAGTCTTATAAGTAATCATGGATGTAAACAGAGGAGTAAGCTGTTTGTGTAGTTTACATACTAACATAGGTTGACCACTAATGGCCTGCTGACCTTTTCTGGGCTTCTCCCATCCTGGGACCTGGTCAGGCCTCTTTCCACAGCAACTCAAAGGTCATTTCTGTCTCCTGTTCCACCTTGAAGGCTGGCACTCAACGCCATTAATTTAAAAAGCAGAATAGTCTGTGGTGTGAATGTACCGTAGTTTACCTCACTATTTCTCATTTTGGATATTGAACTTGTTCTAAATTTTGCTATTGTAAATGATACAGTCAGCCATATCTCTGCATGTAAGTCTTGTATTTCAAAGAATCTTTTTTTTGAGACAGATTCTCGCTTTGTTGCCCAGGCTAGAGTGAGTGCCGTGGCATCAGCCTAGCTCACAGCAACCTCAAACTCCTAGCTCAAGCGATCCTTCTGCTCAGTCTCCTGAGTAGCTGGGACTATAGCATGCGCCACCATGCCCAGCTAATTTTTCTATATATATATTAGTTGCCAATTAATTTCTTTATATTTTTAGTAGAGACGGGTCTCGCTCTTGCTCAGGTTGGTTTCGAACTCCTGACTCGACCAGTCTGCCGCCTCGGCCCCAGAGTGCTAGAATTACAGGCGTGAGCCACCACGCCGCCTCCAAAGAATCTTTTAAACTCAAATTTTGATTTTTAATAAAGGATCTAAAAAGGGAATGCTTACACACTGTTGGTGGAATGTAAATTAGTTTAACCTTTATGGAAAACATTAAGGAGATCTCAATGAACTAAAATAGAACTACCATTTGAGGGGCTGGAAGAGAAAAATAACATTACCATTTAATCCATTAGTCTCACTAATGGGTGTATACGCAGAGGAAAAGGAAGTATATTAAAGATAATGGGCCAGGCGCGGTGGCTCACGCTGTAATCCTAGCTCTCTGGAAGGCCGAGGCTGGCGGATTGCTCGAGTCAGGAGTTCGAAACCAGCCTGAGCAAGAGCGAGACCCCGTCTCTACTATAAATAAAAGAAATTAATTGGCCAACTGATATATAGAAAAAAAAATAGCCGGCATGGTGGTGCATGCTTGTAGTCCCAGCTACTCGGGAGGCTGAGGCAGGAGGATTGCTTGAGCTCAGGAGTTTGAGGTTGCTGTGAGCTAGGCTGACGCCACGGCACTCACTCTAGCCTGGACAACAAAGCGAGACTCTGTCTCAAAAAAAAAAAAAAAAGATAATGTGTACACATGGATAGAGAGTGTGGAATAATAAACATGGAGACTCAGAAGGGTGGAAGAATGGGAGGGGAAGAAATGAGAATTACTTAACGAGTAAATGTACACTATTTGGTGATGGTTATACCATTAATAAATCTCAGACTTCACCACTACATATATAGTCGTGCATCAAACTGTACTTTTACCTCGTAAATGTATCAAATTTAAGAAAGGGGTCTGAAATTCTGTATTTGTGGCTTAAGTTCATCAGGAGCTCTACAGAAGGTACACCCCTCCCCCTTTTAAAATAAATTTCAGAATTTTTTTAATCTGGGGAACCTGACTTCATTTCTAAAGTTTTATGGCATGTATTTTTTTGATCCACTGTTATAAAAGAAACAGTAAGAGGTTATTGTTTCTGAATTTGAGACAGTTCATGGGACCCTGTTAGTTTTACTAAGAAGAGAAATGTCAACATATAAGCATACCTTAACGACAGCTCTTTTCTTTATTTCAGCTGGTCCTCCTGCCTGGTATGATGCCAGCACCCCATATGGGGGGCCCTCCCATGATGCCAATGATGGGCCCTCCTCCTCCTGGATGATGCCAGTGGGACCTGGTAAGTTTGAATATCTTTCTTTTTAGTATGCACCATTGTGTTTAGTTCTCCAGTTAAATGAATTCCTAACTAGTTGTCTAAAAGTGTTTTTGCAAAAAATAAATTTGGTCAATCATTAAGGATAAAAAGATTCTTGAAAAATTTGGGAGAGGGGCCTAAAAAGTAAAAGAAATACTTGTTTATCAGTATAATGGGTGATAGCAAGGACTTTGTCCTACTAAAAGAAAGATAGGGCTGCTTCTGTATTTCTTCTCCCTCCCTCCTGTTGTCTTGCCTCATTCTGACTTTTGACCATTTATAATGAATAGAAAGATAGATGAACTTGTTCCATTTGAGGAGTGGGAGAAGGTTAGATATATTTCTCAGTTTTGGGTTCCAGCTCTAACCAGGAAAATATAAGATGTGCTATATCACCATTGTGTCTTAGAGCTGAATAGTACTCCATGGTATACATATACCACATTTTATTAATCCATTCTTGGATTGATGGGCAGGACACTTCTTATGTGTCCATGATTATGTTGACATTGAGTGGAGCCAGTGGTTTAGCTTCTCCCTTTTCTTTACAAGCTGTCCTCCTACACAGGGTGTGGGGTTTTTTTTTTTTAATTGGAAAAGCCCTTACTGGGCTATAACCCCTGATAGAGCACAGGTTTATTCAGAGGCATACGAGTAGCTTTTCATAAATCTCCACTCTAGGTCATTTTTTTGCATCTGCTCCCCATGATTTATCAGTGATTGACTTGAGTAATTTGACCTTGTTTGCACTGATGGGGGCATGGAGTGGGATGGGCCGCAGACAGCACTGAGTTGGCAAGGGCTTACATGAGGAATAGAGTTTGGAGTGTGTAGTTTAATATTATTTGTGACTCCTTTCTAAAACTAAATACAGATGAACTTCAGTTTCTTTAGTTTTCACTGGGGCTTTATATCATCTGAAAGAAACATTGAAAGTTGATTGTGTTGGACTTTTTTAAAGACCATAATCTCCTTTAGAACAGGCTTTTGCTTTGATATCTTTGTTTTTCTTCATCTCCTAGCTCAGTGCATTAATTTCAAAACTGATTAACCAACATGGTATATTGTTTTGACCCAAGACAGCACAGAAAGGATAGAAGGAAGGGTAGAAATTTTATAAAGCCTGACCTTTGGGCATGTATGTATACTTTTCAAACAAAATACGATTGGCTTAAATTGATTATAAACCACATCTACAGATAAAGATGACTGCTTCTCTTTGGTGAAAGACATTGCTAGGAAGGAAATTTTCATTGCAATCTCCCGTAGTTTAATTTAGCCATAGAAATGCTAAGTAAAAATAGCTTAAAGAACCTAAATCAGGCCGGGTGCTGTGGCTCAGGCCTGAAATCCTAGCACTCTGGGGAGGCTGAGGCGGGTGGATTGGTCGAGGTCAGTAGTTCAAAATCAGCCTGAGCAAGAGCGAGACCCCGTCTCTACTGTAAATAAAAAGAAATTAATTGGACAACTAAAAACATATATAAAAAATTAGCCAGGCATGGTGGGACATGCCTGTAGTCCCAGCTACTTGGGAGGCTGAGACAAGAGGATTGCTTGAGCCCAGGAGTTTGAGGTTGCTGTGAGCTAGACTGACGCCATGGCATTCTAGCCCAGGCAACAAAGTGAGACTCTGTCTCAAAAAAAAAAAAAAAGAACCTAAATCAGTAAACCAATTAATTGCAATTTTAGGTAGTGAATGCCTGAAAATGATTTTAAAACTGTAAAGCCATGATGTAGTAACTGTAGATGAATGTTTGCGGGAATAAAGTAATTGGAACCATAAAAGATTTAAACAAAAGCAGTTATTTTAGTAAATGGGTTGTTGAACTCTTATTCATCATTTGTTGTGTTTCTTTCTCAACCTTATATCCAAAGCGGCTGCATTTCAACAAGGAAAAATACCTCCTACTCCGTTCTCTGCTCCTCCTCCTGCAGGGGCGATGATTCCACCTCCCCCCAGTCTTCGTAAGTTTAACCTTTTTACCTTAAGGGCTGTAAGTGGGCAGATTATTCTTCGATTGTGTTAGATTTAGATTATCTCACAGTTAGCTTTTGAATGCTTGTTGAATGAATACATAGATAGTTATAGAAAATAACATTGGTGGTGTAATTTCTAAAATAACTTTAGAATTAACTTTCTTTTTTTTTTTTTTTTAATATGTGGACGAGGTTCTGGGGCCCCAAGAGCAGGGGCCCCAGAAGCTGCCCTAGAATTAACTTTCGATTGCACTGTTACTAGGACATTGTATTTCTGGCATCCCAAGTGTTGGTGTAAGACAAATTCAAATGGAAAGCTCAGAGTGAACTTTTGATTAGATGAGCTGATATATGAGTAAGAGTTGCTGAGTACATTAAAGTATTTACTGCTATGAACACAGCACTAGAGTACTACAATAGCTGATAAACTCCTCAGTCTCTACCCTTATTTTCTAAACCACCTAAAACTGTAATACATACTTTGTGGAAGATAAGAATTGGATAGTCGGCCAGGGGTGGTGGCTCACGCCTGTAATTCTAGCATTCTGGGAGGCCGAGGCGGGCAGATTGGTTGAGGTCAGGAGTTCGAAACCAGCCTGAGCAAGAGTGAGAAAACAAAACAAAAAAAAAACGAAAGCTCAGTTGACAAGGATTCCCCTAACAAACTCATAAGTCTGCAGAAGACTTTTCGTAACAAATATGAGCTATAAAAGTCATATAGATTAAGACTAAAATTGGTTTAAAAAAAAAAAAAGGCCGTGTCTGAATCCTAGCTCTCTGGGAGGCTGAGGC